TTCCTCTTTGTTGCAATAGATTCAAGGCAGAAACCACGTTTTACTTACTCTCGAAAAGTGACCAGACTTGGCCCATGGAAAGGACTCAATATACTCTCCTAGTATTCAAAGAGTCCCCGCAAATCAATAAGATAAATGACCCCCCCAAAGTAAGAATATAAATATCCAATTTTAAAAAGTTTATTTTATTTTCAAATAGTGTAGGGGCAGGAAAAATGGCTTTCCTCCACCCTTCTAGGTTCTTTAGCTGGGCTATGAATTAAATTGATACGAGACAGATTAAGAGGAGAAAAACCATACCTAATTGCATATATACATGTGGGAGTCCCACAGCATATGAGACTCGATGAAGGGCCAGATGATTGAAGCTTGTATAGCATCCTGAGCTACAGAAAGGAATAGGGGCTTGAGACTTGAGGGAATGGGGGTGATGGGGTAGGGACAAGTTATGGGAGGGTGAGGGGAAGAAATGTCAGGTGAATAAAGGTTGTCTTGTTACGCAGATAAAAAGTCTCTCAGGTAACAAAAGTTGTCTCAAAGCAGCCCTCTTCCTGATAACTTTTACTAACATAGATTTCTTTTATGGATATAAATTTCCTTTACAAAATGGCAGCTTTCAGAACTAATCCTGTCAGTGAGCGGGAACCGGTCTGTATGTAGGATCCGAACCCTCGGGCGGGAGCGCTGCCGCGCTCCCAAGCGGCGCACTGTAGCAGTGCACCACCGGGCCGGCCGAACCGCGCCACCGGGCCGGCCGAACAGCATCTAATTTTTCATTCATCTAGTGGGCAAACTTCAAAAGGCCCATATTTTTCAGGACACTCACATGTCCTACTGGTGGGAGCATGAATTACTACATACTTTTGGGAAAACAGTCTGGCAGAATGTATTAAAGTGTTTAATACACATACCCTTTGACCCTATTCCTCAAAAACTAAAGCCATGGAATATAAGGCTATTTGTACACAGATGTACACAGCATTATTTGAGGGGCAGAAAATTAGAAACCATGTAAATATTCATCAAGTGTGAATGGCTGGGTAAATTATAGTACATTTATAGCAGGAAATGAGCGTGGTGCTGACAACACCAAGTCAAGGGTTAAGATCCCCTTTCCGGTCATCTTTTTTAAAAAAAAAAAAAAAAGAAGAACAGAGTGGCTGATGGTTCTGACTCAGTCTTTCTTGGGGTTGCAGTCAAACAGTTTTCCAGGGCTCCAAGTCATTTCAGGGTCCTACTGGGACTGAAGAATGTACTGCAAGCTCACTTCCTGAAACCATGTAAATATTCATCAAGTGTGAATGGCTGGGTAAATTATAGTACATTTATAGCAGGAAATATTATGTAGCAATTACATAAAATAAATTAGATCTATATAGAATGATCTGGAGGAATGTCCGCAAAATATTTTGTTATAAAAAGCAATTTACTAAAAATTTGTATAGTAATATTATGTAGCAATTACATAAAATAAATTAGATCTATATAGAATGATCTGGAGGAATGTCTGCAAAATATTTTGTTATAAAAAGCAATTTACTAAAAATTTGTATATAAGGTATATATTTTTATAGTTCATATTCATATATACAGTATTAAGAAACTGCCATATATATTTATTTGAATATGTTCATATAAACATAGAGCACTGATGCTCAACTGGGGGCAATTTTGCCCCCAGGGGACATGTGGCCATGGCTGAAGACATTTTGGTTGTCATGACTGGGGAGTGCTATGGCATAGCTGCTAAGTTTTACAGTGAACACAGGACAGCTCCCCACTCTCACCCTGCAAAGAATCACCAGTCCAAAATGTCACCTGCACTGAGATTGAGAAACCCTGACATTTTGGACTGGTGATTCTTTGCAGGAAAGTAAAAAATGAATAAACACTAAACTTAACTTTTTCCTTACACATCTGTGTTGTCTGACTTATTACAAAGTATATTTATTTTGACAACTAAAAATTATCCTATAAAGTAAAAAATAATACTCAATAAAAGTTTATTGTTTTGGCAAGGACAGTAGTGGAGCCAGAGTGGCAGGCTATTCCTCAAGCCTGGTTCTGACCTTGGAGCTAACATTACAGTCTTACTAATCCCAGGGTGAGACTGAGGTTTTCCTGAGCTGGACAAGGGACTGCAAAAATTTTCTATTATTAGGCAAGCCTACTATAGAGTGAGAAACAAGCCTAAACTCAATTTCCATTTTATAGCCTGGTGTAAACCATCTTATAGTGAGACACTGGGAATCATAACACATCATAACACTGAATCTCACTGGTCTGCTGAGTGGCAGGTTGGTAAGTGTTCCATGGGTAAGGGTTTTGTGGTCAACTAAGACAGGAAAACTCTGACCTAAATCACAGTAAATTAAACAAGGTTCTTTCCTGCAGATCTAATCAGAGCCTTTAATATGCTAGTGTGCATCTCTGCTATAGTTTAAATGTCCCCGCAAAACTCATATTGAAGCTTGATCCTAATTGTAACAGTTTTAAGAGGGTGGGAAATCTCACTATAGTATCTGAAAGATGGGGCCTTTGGGAGTGATTAGATCATGAGGGCTCCACCCTCATGAATGGATTAATGCATTAATGGATAAATACGGGCTATCATGGGAATGGCACTGGCGGCTTTAAACGGAGAGCAAGTGAGCACATTCAGCATGCTCAGCCTCACCTCACCATGGGATATCCTGTGCTGCCTTGGAACTCTGCAGAGAGTCCCCACCAAGAAGTCCCTAACCAGATGTGACTTCTGGACCTTGGACTTTGCCTCCAAAACTGTAAGAAATATTTTTTTCTTTATAAATTACCCAGTTTCAGCTATTCTGTTATAAGCGACAAAAAACTAAGACTATTTCCAAGAGGGTGGTCATTAAATGCAGGCCTTCCCTGTCTTGACCAAGTCCTTTTTCCTGAGAGCATATCTTGAGAATTAGAAATTTGGAAATACTAACCTATTGTAGTCATGGTTTTACTGATGGGGAAACGGTGGCCGAAAGGAGAAAAACTGACTGGCTGAGCTAGCTGGTGGAGCTAGCTATTTCCCAGACCAATGCTTTTTTTTTTTTTTTAAAGATGACCGGTAAGGGGATCTTAACCCTTGACTTGGTGTTGTCAGCACCAGGCTCACCCAATGAGCTAACTGTCCATCCCTATATGGGATCCGAACCCGGGGTCTTGGTGTTATCAGCACCGCACTCTCCCGAGTGAGCCACAGGCCGGCCCCATCACTGCTCTTTTAAAAGACCAATTAAAATAGCCATTCTTTTCAATGTCTGATAAGATCCTTTCTAGCCTACAGTCTATTATTTTGTTCCTCTTCTCTTTTTTTTTTTCTTAAAAGATGACCGGTAAGGGGATCTTAACCCTTGACTTGGTGTTGTCAGCACCAGGCTCACCCAATGAGCTAACTGTCCATCCCTATATGGGATCCGAACCCGGGGTCTTGGTGTTATCAGCACCGCACTCTCCCGAGTGAGCCACAGGCCGGCCCCAGACCAATGCTTTTTTCCCTTACTACACATCTAACCACAGGTACAAATCAACTATAGATCCTTGGAGAACATTCCTCAAATTTAAGAAATTCTTTTTTCCAATTTGATTTGGAGGGGTTGCAGTGGAGGTGAGGGAGAAGGCAGTAATAATGGAAGCCATTCAAAGCAAAACCCACCTTTAAAGAGGATCAATACATTTTTGACTTCAGAATACACTATTTTTTTCTTGGTGGAGAGGGCACCCACGAAGACCAGATGTGCTCCTGTGAAGGTCGTTTTGAAAACATAACCTGCATGAGACAAGTGGGAACACCTGGGACTTCAATCCTCTCCAATTTGTCTCAAAGTGATCTCATTGGGCTATGAGAAGCCTTACACACTGATTCTGTATATTCTGTCCATGTAGTAAATTTACTAAAAATTACTATTTGATCCTATTATATGCCAGACCTCTGCAAGGCACTGAGGATTCAACGATGAATAGAGTGTAATTCTCACTCTGAAGGGATTTTCTATTTGGTATGGAAACACAGATATTGCACGCAGCTAGTCTATGACAGGCCCATACCGACAATGTGAACAAAGAGCTACAAACCGATGGAGAGGACAGTGTGTCCTAAGGCTCTCCAATGCCCACCTTGCTAAGAAACTTGCACACCTTAGCCTGTGGGCAATGGGGAATCATGGAAGATGTTTTCTGTTTTAAACAGAGAACTCTGGCCACAGCATGTTCTGTGACTCCATTTTCCATTATCAACTCCCCTTCTTGCTTCGTCTCCCCTAACCTCTTCCTCGGTTAATGGCCTTGCAATTAATGGCTTTGTGGAGAGGTCACCTCCTCACCCCACATCACCTTGGTTCTGGAAGGGGTCCCACATCTGGCTCATCCCTCCTTTCCCTAGTCGGTTATGCTCAGGCCCAGACCCCATCATCTCCCACAGCACAACTGTTAACTGGAAATTGATGCTACTACAGGTGAGTCTTGTCCAATTTCTGGTAGTATAGGCCAGTCAACAAGTCCGCGATGGCTCACGCGCTGCCAGGCGAGCCAGCGTCGCAATTAACAAGCGTTAACAGTGAACACGGTGGTCTTTAGGAGGCCACTCCTCAGTTTAAGTCACTTGGGATCCAGCAAGTCTCTTGATAAAGGCGGACTTAATGACTTCTATCAGCAGCCTCCACGTTTACTGAACACAACTGTCAGGCAAGACGCACAGGAACGCCAATGAAGTTGGGACACTGAGTCCCAGGGACGTAAAACGAGTTGCCCAAATGCCAGCTTTACCAAAAAGCAAAGACCAAAGGGACCACAATTGAGACAGCTAACACCACCTGGCCTCTGAGGCTGCGCGGAGAAAGAGAAGAGCTGGGCACGCGCAGTACCAACCCACTGGCACGGTCACGTGAGTGGGCGGGCTCAGGGGCGGGGAGGAAGCGGAAGGTAGATCGGGAGGAGAAAGCGGAAGCTGGGTCGGGAGGGGAAATAAGCCAGCCTCCGGAAGTCCCGCCTGTCTCGGAGCCTGTTAGCGGAAGTGCTGCTGCTTATTGCGGGGTGATGGCTTCAAGGTTACTTTGCAGAGCTGGAGAGCTAGCCGCACAGGCCTTGAGGGCCAGCGGTCCCAGGGGGGCAGCCGCGGTGCGCTCCATGGCGTCCGGAGGTACTCGGCCCGCGGAACGCGGCAGAGACTGGGTGTCGTTGTCTTCCTGGGGTGGTGCCAGGGCAGCCAAGCGGGGTCGGACCTGCAGCTCCTTGGGGCCGCAGTGACCACCTCACGGCCCCGAGTGCCTCAGGCTCCGCGGACGTCTCCCTGTAATTCTGGGCCGCTGCTGTTGCCACCTATCGAACTGACCCTGCTGCGAAAGTATCCTAACCGGAGGTGCCGGGTGACCTTGCGGGGGGCAGGGTATACAACCGGGATGGGAAAGGGCCAGGCCGTCCTTTCAGCGCCCGCCTACCTCAGATTGAATGAACTCTTGATTGACCTGCTTTTAGAAAAATGTCGAAAAATTGCCCTCGGTGGTTGGAGGAAGAAGAGCTATCAATAGTGCTTCCTCTTTTGGGGATCGTGACTCGGTAGTCCTTAGGAGACCATCGATATGAATAGCCTTTAGGAGCTTGTGAGCCCACTAAAACTTAAGCAGAAGTTTAAATGTGGCATTTTCTGTCTTGATCATCTCCGTGTTTTTTTCTATCTTGATTATTCCAGTCGACATCATAATTCACGTATCTTCCTTTAGGTGGTGTTCCTACTGATGAGGAACAGGCGACTGGGCTGGAGAGAGAAGTTTTGATGGCTGCACGGAAGGGACTGGTGAGGAGAAACTCTCTTGTGTGTCTTCTGTGGAGCTCATGATCTTGGATGGGATCAGACTAGTCTCCTCTGGGAGCATTTGATCCAGGAAACCTGGCTTGTAGGAACACTCGCCTGAGCTTCTGGAGGGTAGGGGTTATTTGACATAATGGCTCAATTTTTGTTTTTTTCAGGACCCATACAATATACTACCCCCAAAGGGAGCTTCAGGCACCAGGGAAGACCCTAATTTAGTCCCCTCCATCACCAACAAGAGAATAGTGGGCTGCATCTGTAAGTACCTTACTTCTACATATTATCTATTTGTTTAATATATCCTACTGTTCAGGATGTGTATAAACTGCTTCACATATTTCGTGTGCTTGTGTGTGTGAAAAGAGGATACGTGTATGATTCTCAAGACTTGTCATATCTGCATAGGTTATCCTTACTGTAAACAGGACTGGCTCACTGGAAGTGCATCATAAAGGAGTATTCACCCAGGAAATAATTTACTGTTGTACTACGTCCGTGCCAGAAGTATTCATATTTTAGGCACCGGGGATACATACCAGAATGGACCCTACTTTGGGATTCTGTGTAGGCAGAGGAATTGTTAGAACTTACAGTGACCCTGATATGAGGTCACTTTACTCACAGATAAACTCAGGGTTTCAGTGTCTTTATTTGAAAAATGGGGAGGAGAGCTTGAACTGATCTCTTAAGATGTCAGCCATAGTTTTATTTGTGTCTCAGAGGTGTCTCAGGAAAAGGGATTAATGTTGAAAGTCTCCCTTTCTAGGCTGGATGACCTTCAACCACCTTTTCTCCTTTCAGGTGAAGAGGATAACAGTACAGTCATCTGGTTCTGGCTGCACAAAGGTGATATCCAGCGATGCCCTAACTGTGGAGCCCATTACAAGCTGGTGCCCCACCAGTTGGCCCACTGAGCCCCTGCACTTACTCAAAATGTGCACTTACTCAAAATCTTCTTTCCAATAAAGACTAGCCTTTGTATTGGCTTCTTCTCCCATAGGTGGCTGGTTTTATATCTTTCCTGTATTTTTGGATAAGCATGGATGATTCTTTTATTGGGAATAGCTGTCTGTTAATACTAGTTTGCCATCCACTTAAAAGTCTACAACCAGAATACAATGCTTGGATTAATAATAAAAATAGGTTGACAACCCATAATGCAAATGATTGGGACTACCTGCTATAGGGGAAAGACTGGGCTGTAGAGTCAGGCTGACTGGACTTGTAATATTGGCTCCATCATTTGGCTGTATCACTGTGGGCATGTTCTCTGAGGGCTGGTTACATCTACAAAAAAAGATAAATACCTCATGAGGTGTTATGTAGAGGCTGACAGATAGTAGATCCTCATAGCATTGTCATAGAGGCAGGTGGCCTTGCGAGAAGTTTGGGGGACTTTGAAGTCTTGTGGGATCCAGGTTCAAAGCAAGAGTTAATGGGGATACCAGCAGCAAAATTCAGAATATGGGACAATTCCAGGAACCAATGACCAGGTTTATTCAAATAAATTGTGAGGAGTGGGGGAAAAAAGGTAGGGAAAATCTGTAGAGTGAAACAGATGAGGGACATGCTGGTTAACAAAAATGTGTGGACATTGTTTGGATATTGATTTGAAAAAAACACCTGTAAAGGAAATGAAATTTGGAATAATATGAACTATGGATATTTAATATTTAGGCATTAATTTTTTAGGTGTGTTGATAGAGTTAGTTTTTTTAATACTTTAGAGATACATGTGGAAATATAAGCTGGGAAGGGGAGAAACAAAGCCTACTTCAGCCATTTTATATGTGTGACACCTTGGACAAGTTAAGTTCTCAAAAGCTTTTGTTAACTGTAAAATGGAAATACCTTTTCATTTTGGGGTTGAAATTAGGCAGAGGTGGCTTCAGTTACTGTCTTCACAAAATTGGTTCAAAGTCGATCTTTCCTTTTGAACTGATGATAGGAGAGTTAAAGAGAGAAATGCCACTCCTTCTCAGTCTTGCCTCACCTCATCTTGAAGGTGTAGTCAAAGCTATTGCTTCTTTTCCTTGCTGTCATTCTATCTCCAGGAAATGCCCAAGCATTGACCTTCCACTCAAAGCCCTTTCATCTGGGAAGTGGAGCCCCAGATAGCCATCTGTTAAGTCCAGCCCCTACACTCCCACCTTAAATGCTGTTCTAAACACGTTTCCCAGAAACTGTATCCTGAAGGCTGCGCTGGTGCTCCTGCCAGGCCCTCCTGGCTTGCTGGCCTTCTATGTTCCCCTTTCCTTTTCCAGTGTCTCCTAATCCAAACTGTGCTTAGGGTGAGCTTTTGAGTCTCTACATTAATCCAGTCTGTCTTCTCCCTCATCTCCAAGTCCTCCTTGATTCTTTTCTACCTTTGTTTTTTAAAAATGTTGACCAATTCACTCCTAAATAAAAATTTCTAGTACATTTCCAGGCCAGCCATTTCAGTGGCTCCTTCTACCATAGGTGGCTTGTTTTATTTCTTTCTGGTATCTTTGGGTAGGCATGGATGATTCTTACATTGGGAATAGCTGTTAATACTAGCTTGACATCAACTAAAGTCTGCAACCAGTGTATACAGTGCTTAGATTAATAATAAAAATAGATTGACAAACCATAATGCAGTAATTGAGACCACCTGGTACAGGGGAAAAGGACTGGCTGTGGTGACAGGTTGACTGGACTTACAACAGGCAAAATAATGATCCCCCAAAGATGTCCACCTCTTAATCCCCAGAACCTGTGAATATGTTAGGTAAGACAGCAAAAAGGAATTAAGGTTGCAGATGTAATTAAGGTTGCTAATCAGCTGACCTTAAAATAGAGAGATGATCCTGGATTATACAGGTGAGCCCAACAAGCACAAGGGAGGCAGAAGAGTGTCAGGAAGGTGTGACTATGGATGAATGGTTGGAGGGATGTGGGGTCGCTGGCTTTGAAGGTGGATGAAGGGAGTCATGAGCCAAGGAATGCTAGCAGCCTTTAGAAGCTGGAAAATGCAAGGAACAGATTTTTCCCTGGAACCTCCAGAAAGGAATGCACCTGCCATCACCTTGATCATAGCCCCCACATATATATTTATTCAGATATTTATTTACATTGGTATGGGTTCACAAATATTCTTTGGCTTATAATCCACTACAGATTTGAGCATGATGCACTCCTTCAAGTTGGTTTCTGTGTCCTTTAGACAAGGCTCTTCTTTTTTTGCATGCTTTCTTACTTTATGGTACCACAAGATGTTCCAGGCTGATCTTGTATTTTCCTTATCTCAGGGAATTGAAGAATGGTATTTAGAAACCGAGATCTGAACACCATATGTGCTCATTGCTACTTGTGCATATCTGCTTCCTGGTCCTCCCAGGGCTAGGAAATACATGTATACTCTAACCCTGGCACTCACACACAGATGTGTTTATTTCAGTATCTGTATGTACATTAAAACCATGAGTCTGTACTACTTCCAGTTCCAACCCAACACCACAAGTTTTGTTTTAGCCACACTACCATCCTCATTTGTAGCTTTTCTCTTAACAGTGAGAAATCTGGCTGAGCCTGAGCTCTTTAACCATGCTATTCCTGCCGGAAGAGGGTGTAGGATGTTGCATTGTGCTTTGCCTTAAAGGATGGGATTTTGACAGACATAAGGGCAGGGCATTCCTGTGGAGAAAATGGCATGAGTAGAGGCTAACGGGCAAAGCAGGACATGGTAGGGAAGGAACAGATCTCAAGGGCCAAAATCAAACACAACAATGTGTAGTTAACGAAAGTGATTTTACCAGTGTCACATCAACTCGATTTTATTTTACCAGCCAGTGGACAACTGCTGGACATTTTGGAGTAGGAAGTGGCAGAACCAAGGTTATCTGGGCTTCAGGTCCCAGAGCAAATGGATTGGGTGAGCAGGAGAATGGAGCTGTGGTCATGAGGTAGGGTGGTAGTGGCCATAACAGAAAAAAAAGGATGGGTGGGAAAGGTACTGCAGAATAATGGAACTTGGTAAGGGACATAAAGGAGGGCAGGTAAGGAAGAGGGAGGAGTCAAGTGATAAGGCTCTAGATCTGGGTAGCTGGGAGCCGGTGGTATTGTGAACAGAACCCTGTAGGAAGAGCTGGCCTGCAGGGCACCCTAATGAAGAATACTCGGTATAAGTTCTGTTTTCCTCTTGAGGGCTGGTGCAGCCTTAACTGCCATGTAAGCACAAAGTCTCACAAAATGCCCCCTGCACACAGGCCTGCCTCAATGCTCTTCCCCATCCTTGCCAATCTGCTCGGTTCTGGGCCCCTTCCTTGGCCACCACCAACCTTGACTGCCTTCACACACAGATTTGGTCACCGTCCTCCCATGACTGGCTGCCCATCACCCAGGACACAGCTAGCAACCCTAAGGCCCTCCGCGTGCTGGCCCAACCTACCTTTTTGGTCATCTCACCCTATAGCCACAGGAGACCATTTACCCTTCCCTGCTGACTCAGCATCCAGTTCACGCCCCTCTCCAGCCCCACTGGCCCCAGGCATTTCTTTGAGCTCTAATCTTGGCCTGGAACACCTTCATTTCTCTTGCCTGCTGGGCCCTGGCAAGTCAGCCTGCCCCACCTGTCAGGTTAGATGCCATCTTCTTGGCCCCCGACTCTGTACTGAAATAGCCCGTGTCTTCCTCCCACCCTGTACATTTGTTGGGGCAAAGATATCTCTTGTCTACTATTGGCCCCTAACCTCTGGCATCCTCCTGGACATACTACAGGTGCTCAGATGCTTTATCAAGGAAAGAATACACTCCACGGTTCTCACTGCCCCCTCTGCCTCCACTGCCCTTCCTCATTGCTTCTTGGCCTCTTCTTCCTCTACAGCCCAGCTCGTCTCCCTGCCTTCCGTCTCCCCCATCACTCCCTAGTCCAGCTTGTCACAACGGACAAGCCTGCATCATTGGTGGTGTTGGCAGCCCTCACTCTGAGTGGGACATGCAGCGGTGTTCAAGCAGAACAGGAGACGATGTTGATGCCCCAAGGCCCTATCCAGGAACCCACAAATGAAGGCTGCCTGGTTCTCTGCTTCCCTTGGTGGATGGTAGCAAGGGAGTAATGAGGCTGCGGGGTGAGAGCCTGGCCTCTAGGGCTTCTGTGCCACGTTGCCTGCCAACCACTGAAACCCTCTTCCTTCCGAGCTAGAGCCAGTGCTGTGCTGGCTTCTCTCCTGTCCTTCCCCTGAAAGTCCCCAGGGACGGAAGAGCAAACAGAAACACCAAGAACCAGAAGAAAACAGAGCCACACACTGTGCCTTGTCTGTAATTATTACTATAATGATTTACAAAAAAAAGGTTTTTTTCAGGCAACTGTGTTAAATTATTGTACGTATCTGAGAGAGGGAGGTGGGGCTGTGGCCACAGTGAAGACCTCTTTCTTGGGGGATGTGAGAAGGAAATGCACCTCCCCACTTAGATATGACTTCTGATTAATGCCTCCCCTCAACAAGTGAAAAGCATTAACCCTTTCCTATTCAGGGTCCTGGGGGCTCACAGAGAGGGAGCAAAAAGTCAGTGAAGTGCTTTGAAGAGTGAGACAAACTGTGGCCACTGCGCACCCTCTACCCTGGCTCTGAAGGGTCTTACCCTGGGCCACACACCCTCACTGGGGACGAAGACTGCCCAGTACTCAGCCCTACCCCAGGGAATCTGTCCAGGGAGATGGGAGGACAGAGTGTGAGAGGGTCTGGGCTGTCCTGTCAGGTCAGACAGGAGGTGGCATGGGACTCGATGATGTACCAGCGGGAGCTTCTGGCCACCCCTCCTCCACCCCATTCAAGGCTAGTTACACAGGCATCCAGGCACTCTGGCCCTGGGAGTTCGGGGAAGCAGCCCTGAGAGTTGGAGTTAGAAACCACAGGCCTAAGTGGTCGTACCAAAGGGAGACACCTAGAACCACTCAATGCTGGGCTTCTCAATTCCTATGCTCCAGCTCAAACTCCTGTCCATGCAGCTAATGCCTCTGTGTGTGTGTGTGTGTGAGCACACAGAGGGGAGGGCTGCAGGGGAGTACTGTTGCACCCTGCCTGGGGGTTCAGGGCATGCAGGGGACCCTAGGCTAGAATGTGAGCCCAGACCGAAAAAGGGTTAAGGACTCTGGCTCCCCTTTCCTCCCCTTCTCCCAACACCCACCACCCTCCCTGGACACTAGAAGGTTTTGCGGTGAATAGCACGGAAGCCATCCTCTTCATACTCCTTTTTGGATACCCACATCTTCTTAAAAGTGTCCAGCGAGGCCAGGATGGAGCCACTGTGAGGATGGAGGGATAGTATTCTTGAGGACCTGTGGGCTCAATCAACCACCCTCCCCAGGCATTCAGAGCTCCATTTCCCTTACCTGGGAGGGAAATCCACCCACCTCCACCTGGCCTGGGCTACCCCCAAGAGATGCATGCAGGGCAAGATGGTCTCCTCCCAGAGCCCTCCCCTGAGCTCCGCCTCACCCAATCCACGTGGAGTACAGCCGTTCCTGAGGAGCTGAGATCTGGAGGGAGGAAGTGGTCATGTAACTGCCCACTCCTCCAACAGCAGCCACTCTCCGGGCCTTGGGGGCACCTCCCCATGGTCCCATCAAGGGCTTCAGGTGGGAGGAGAGGGAGCAGCTGAAGGGGGAGGAGCTGGGCTGGGTGGACATGGAAGTGAGAGGGGGTCTGGAGGTGGCATGTGCTCTCCTCTCCAGGTCAAGGTTGCCCAGCACCCCGTGCCCCAGGGGGACTCTCTGAAACCTCACCTTGATTTTGACATCCTTTGGGGCAAGCTTCTTCACTTCACTTAGTAATCGGTCACCGAAGCCTGTGAACACAAGGCTGGCTGGGCCCAGGGTCCACATCTGACCTCCTTGCCACGAGCTTCCCAGTATCCAACCTTCATTGCCCCCCCGCTGCTGCCACCCCTCTTCTAGCAGTTCTTTCAGGGTAGGGGTAAGCTGCCACAAGGGAGAGAAGATCCAGCCCCATGGCTGTGGGTGAGTGCAGCTTCCTCAGAGAAGCCACGAGAGGTGAAACCCCAAGTCACACAGCTCCCCCGACCCCACACGCTTCCTCACTGACCACTCCACTAATAAATGCCAGACCTCGTGTGAACTTATCATCTACCCACAAGCAAATAAAATTTAATTCTGAATCTTAATCTTTAAAAAATGCTCACTGGGGCTGAGCCCGTCGTGCACTCGGGAGAGTGCGGCGCTGGGAGTGCAGCAGCGCTCCCGCCGCGGGTTCGGATCCAGTCTTTAAAAAATGCTCACTGGGGCCGAGCCCGTCGTGCACTCGGGAGAGTGCGGCGCTGGGAGTGCAGCAGCACTCCCGCCGCGGGTTCGGATCCTATATAGGGATGACTGGTGCGCTCACAGTGCTCACTGGCTGAGCGCGGTGCGGCCGGTCTCAAAAAAGGACAAAAAAGAAAAAATGCTCACTGAACACTACCAAAAAGCAAACAGAAAATGGTCACGTCACAGGCTCTGGGTGGGGGGAGGCACAATCTCTGAGGGTCCAGCTGCCCTTGGCCTTACTACCGCCACCTCCCAAACTGCAGTACCTTTAAAAAGCGTTGAGCCCCCTGAGAGCACAATGTTGGCAAACAGCGTCCGCCGAAGGTCCATATCTGACTTGTGGATGGCAAAGGCCAGCACCTCGTGGAGCCCCTCGCTCTCATCCCCGACCAGGTCAGGCTGGAACAGCAGCTCGGGGGCTCGGAATCGTGCAGGCCCCACCTTTGGAGTACAAAACTTGAGGCAGACTGGCTCCACAGAGAAGCCAGGCCCAGTGGCAGCTGCCGCCCAGCACCAGGCCACTTACGTCGAGCAGGCTGCCATCAGGCAAGGTGTACTGCACCTTCTCTGTCTCCAGAGCCTCGTCCTTCTGTGGGTTGACGGACAGGTAGCAGGCTCGCTGTGGGGGCAGGGACATTACTTTCAGAAGGCCACAGCCCAGCCATCTACAGCCTAGGACTAAACCTCATGAACTGTTCCCACCCTCTTTCCCACCCTCCTGCCCCTCATCACCTCTTTGATGGTCCGGACAACTTCAAACTCTGCTGAGGTGTGAAAGTCAGCCCCTTCCTTGCGCAGCAGGAGCCGGAGATAGCGGGAGACGTCACGGCCGGCAATGTCCACCCGCATGATGGAGTGTGGCATGGCAAAGCCCTCATAGATGGGAACAGCGTGAGTGACCCCATCCCCCGAGTCTAAAACCACTCCTGTTGTGCGTCCTGTTGCGTACCTGTCACCAGGTCAGCATCCCCTCACCTCAGCCACTGAGGCAAGGGGACTTCCACACCCTGGAAGGGACCCTGGAACATCTGCATTATCTAGTCTGAAAAACGGACCTGAGGGACTCCCTAAAAGAAGTCATAAAGGGGCTGTTTCTCCAGGGAAGCCAGACACCTGGTCCTTGCAAATGGGAGGATGGGGACTCAGGGGACCACAGGGCTCGGGTAGCACTCACAGGCTAAGCACGGCCTGCATGGAGATAAACAGGGCTGGCACATTGAAGGTCTCAAAGAACACCTCTGCGGCCTTCTCCCGGTTCTTTCTTGGGTTGAGCGGGGCCTCCGTTAGGAGAACAGGATGCTATGAGAGATAGGAGAGTCGTGGGCATGCACAAAGACAACGTGCTAGACCCTAAAAGAATCTTCCCAGAGAGCCAAAACCCCCTCTGTGGGCACAGGTAGCCGCAGCTTCCTATCCTTCCTGAGGGCACCGTCCTGTTAGCTGCTGGCAGTTACTCTTCCAAAGACCCAGCTGTCTCTGGAAAATTCTGCCTGGCAGCCAGAGGCTGTGTATGTATGCACAGACACACAACAAAAAGGCAGCAGGCCCTATCAAAGTACAGAGAGGGAACGTGGCAGCCCCCACCAGGAAGAGAAAGGAGAGGGCGCAGCCAGGAGGATTTGGAGCTGGCAGGCGGGGCTACTACCACACCTCCTCGGAGAAGGTCTGCAGCTGATCCTTGGAGTAGACGTACTGCCAGATGCGCTCCATGTCGTTCCAGTCCCGCACCATGCCGTGCTCCATGGGGTAGCGGATGGTCAGCAGCCCCCGGTACTCCTGGGGAGATGGTGGGAAGGCAGACATGGCACCAGGCCCCTCGCCAAGCAGCTGCCTTCCACTTTGCTGGAGGCTGCCCGCTTCATGTGCCCTTAACAGAACCACCCCTGCTCACTGGGTGTCATCATACTTTGTGGCAGGTCCTGATCTCAGCACGGGGTCACTTGTCCAACAGCTTCTTGGGCTCTCAGTGTTCAGCTAGCCTCAACTGGCTGGGGACCAGAGAGGGCAGTAATGTGCCCCTGCCACCCCACAGTCCCTCTTCTTCCTCCCACAGCCACACTTCTCCACACTCACTGCCAACACGGCCACCCAGTTCTGTCCTCACACACTGTCCAGCTTGCATCTTGATCACTTCAGCTACTGCTCTTGTCAGCACCAGGTGCCTCCTTATGGCCAATCCAACACGGCCCCTCCTGCAGTCACTGGCACCTACTGCTCCTACCTCTCCCCCAGCCCTTTAGCCAGTCCTCAGCAGTCTCCCATGCAGACCTGCTGCCTCCACCTGCCCTCTGACGTTTCCCCAGATGTGTTCCTTCTCACCAAGTGCCACTTAGTCTCTCTCACCCGCGACTGTGGCTCCTACTGACCCCACCTCCCAGGAGCCCCACGTCTACACCTTCAGCTCAGGCCTCCCCTTTCTAGGCCCAGAACTTGCCCCCATCCCTGGCACCCCATGCTGTGGTCTCCAGGGGCCTAAACTGCACTTGCCTGAGCTTGGTTTGCTGTTCTCCCACTCCCCACATTTGCTGCGCCTGAGGGTCTGATCTCCTGGGCAGCCCCTATGCATGTCACCCCAGCTAGAGCACAGGAGGCAGTCCCTACAGCCCTGGCCAGAGCAGTCATCAAGTCCAGTGATTCTGACTCTTAAATCACTTTTTAATCAGTTCTTTCCTCTGTAGCTTCCAAATAGCTTCTAAAAGACAGGTTGTGATGAGGTCTAACCATGTTCCCTAGAACGGGAACTGTTACCCAGTTTCACAGAGGGGAGGTGCCACGGCACAGTGCTGCACGGGTGCAGCATGGAGGGGGAGCCTGGGAGGGCACCAGCAGAGGGCCCAAGAACAGAACTCTCTGACCACTGGCCAGTGCTCTTGTCCCTGAGGACCCCAAACCCAGGGAAAGGCAGGATCTACAGCATTACCTCTGCTTTTGGTCCGATGAAGAGGTCTCCCTCCAGGGCTCCAGCCATCACTCGCATGTGTTTAGGCCGCCCAACACTGCGAGGACAGATGAAGTCAACAAGGGGCAGAGGACACAGCTGAGCTTGTGTCCAGGAAAACCAGTGTCTAACTCCAATGGTCCAGAGGGTAATTGTCCTCCAAAGCACCAGGATGTGGCCATGGTGCAAAGATTGGAACCTGGGTCTATGGGATATGGGACTATAGAGCAGGCCTTGGCAGGACAGGAAGCTCAGGGTGAGGAGGAACTGGTATCCCTCCCAGGAAGAACCGAGTGTGTGAGCGCTGGAATCCCAGCCCTGGCAGAGGGTCAGCCTTCTGCAGCCACAATGACTAAGCCCAAGCTCTTAACTTCCGGGGGTAGAGCTGCCGGCACCATCTGTAGACCAGGAAGGATGGCCCTAGGCAGCTGGGTCATGATCCTGTGTGTATCCCTTTCCCACTCAGTCGATGCCACCCCTTCCCATTGCCAGGCCTTCTGGAACAGAGATGCAGTTATTGGAAACTGTAGGATTTAGTTCTTGGAAATTGTTAAGGAACCTTTCATTACACCCACGTAGAGTTCAGAAAACAAAGATGAAACCCTACAGGGTGCTCTATGCTGGCTCTGTCCCAAGACCAGGCCTGGGCCTCTCGGTATAGCCAGCCACTCTGGGGACCTTAGGATCTCCCCTGCCCACCACCTTTAGCCCAATAATTCCAAAGCCTCCAAGCTTCAAGAAGAGGCACTCCTGAGGGAAACTTTCCCGATGGGCTAGAGTGACCCAAGCAGCGCTCTGGACTCTCTTTGGGTCTGCACCTCCCTCTTATCCCTGCCACCACCAGCCATACAGGGAAAGACCCCCTTTGACTGAAATGAAACATTTCCTGGAATCTGAAAATATTTCTGTTTCCTGAAGAAAACATTTCCAGGGGTAGCTGTGCATCTAACTT